CACTGCGTGCTCACACTGCGTGCTCACACTGCGTGCTCACACTGCGTGCTCACACTGCATGCTCACGTTTGACTGCCCCCTTTCTGAAAGTCCTAGTTCTGCCCCTGACAAAAATAAAGTGTAAAGCTTAAAGAGGTATGGAAAAGGCTTCAAATATTGCAACATCTAGGATTTGGGAGGTAGATTGGCCACCCAGAAACCAGTATACAATGAATATATCTTCCGAAAATCAGCATGAGAAATAAGAGGCTATTTCTGTCCACAAACAATTTGGCCGATTTAGGAAACAAGCAATGTCAATTTTTGTGTTTGTGTTGAATTGATAACTTAATGGGGAGAAAGGCACAACAGGCATGCCTAAAGCATGCATGAAGATACATGTAAGCTGCCATCGTTGCAGCCCAAATGCATTAAAACGAGGAGTTTTCTTGACATGTTGAAAATGCAAAATATTATACATTAATCTCTAAGATGCATAGACCTGAAATTTTACTCTTACACATAGTTGGTCAAAGTAATTGTGAAATCTTTTCCAAAAAAAGGAGTATGTGACATTGAAGGTCGAGTGGAACGTAACTTGTGTGGCATACGGTACATGCAGTTGCAGCAGACCATTCAGAGGCCACAGAGAATAACTCGGTCAGAATAGGAGTATGTGTACCCAGACCTGAATCTTAGGCTGAATCCTTGTATGTGTGTTCATATACATATGAAGCCTCTAGAAAAGGACAGCAACCACGTGTGCTTGTTTGCCGATTCAACAATTTTCAATGTACAAGTATCAAAGAAAAACAGATAAACATGTATCAGATTCTTCTCATGAAACAGAGCGGATTCAATTCCTATGAAAATACACGTAACTATAATTTACTTGTCGATGAATAAGGACGATGGCATGGAACCTTTTAGTGTTGTGGGGCTGCTGTGGTGGTCCCCAAAACAAACCTGGCAGTGGTCTAGCAGCACAGCACCATACACATTGGCAGCTGCAACACAAGAAGACGGTGAGGCTTACACTCCACCAAGTTTCTAACTTCAAAGTTCTTTTGCAGACACTGGATAAAAAAAGTCCTTGGCATATTGTGGTGAACTAGGATTGTAGTTTCATGGAGGGAGTAGCAGTGTCTTGGTGTTGAATAATTTTTTTTGGTCATCAGAGGGTGCTCTTTCAATTTTACGGTGTTGTAGGTCCAGGCGCGCAAGTATACATAATTTGAGTTTGTATTAGGGCACACTTTTTGCATAAGTAAATTAAATAAAAAGTTCTTTTCTATGGCAGATAGAAGGGGGGAGTCAAGTAAAAAGTTTGTAATCTTTAATTAAATATTTTTCCAATGTTATGGGGCAATTCAATTATTTTAACCACTTCCAGCCGGGGGCTCCGGTACCGGAGCCATAGGCCTCATATTTGGGGCCGGGGACTCCGAAATTGGAACTTTACTATAAAAAAGAAAAAAGTTGCTGGGCATTTCTTAAAAAGTTTTAGGCTGTCAGTTAAAAAGTTTAGGCCATCATTGGCCGGTGAATTGTGACTTTTTTTATAGCCGGGGTGACCGAACTTATTTTATAGCCGGGGTGACCGAACTTATCAAAGCCTGGAATAAAAGTACGAGCTCCTGAGAGCTGCCGGGCACTGCCAATCAATCCCTGTATTCTTTCAGTGCAGAGCGCTGCAATTAGCGGAGGTAATCTGTGTATTGTTTTGCAGAGCGCATTTGTTCGTGCTGCCGGGCGCTCGCAGGGGATTATCGCTGCACTGCACCGAGGACAAAGCGCGGGCTGTGCGGGCTCATTATGCACCTGCACCCCATGAATGACCTGGCCCGGGCGCTATTGGCCCTTACCACGTTGACTGACAGGGCACGGCCCTCGCTGCTTGAGAATAAAAACGCCGTGCAGTGTTCACATGTGTTCATATTGGGTATCGTGTTATTTAGAGCACAGACAACATGGCTGAAGTTATATCCAGAGAGTCCAGTTCTTCCAGCGAAAGCGAGTTTTATCTCAGTTCAGACGAAGATTCTTCGTCTTCTTCATCACCGCTGTCACCTGCTCAAGTACAGTCAAGTACAGAAATTGACAGTAATGTACCCTTGGCGTTATATGCCAAGCGCAAGAGACAGTCCCGTACACAGACCGCCGCGTCGACCAGCAGCAGTGCCGCACCGTTCCAGTGGACAGATGAAGACAGTACACCGCTGAAGTACGGTATGGTGGTGCCGTCGACCCCCGCCTGCATCGCAGCTCGACCTGCAGTGAAGCCTTTGAACTGTTTTTTTGACGATGTTCTCTGCAACAAGATAGTGCAAGAGAGCAACTGGTATGCCGTGCAGAGGCCCGCTACGACATCGGCGCACATGCGATCATGGACTGATCTGAACACTAGAGAACTGAAGGCCTTTCTGGGCCTTTGCATAATGACGGGCATTGTGAAGCACCCCACCCTTCATAGCTTCTGGTCCACTGACCCACTACTGAAGATGAGCCTTTTCCCGTCCGTCATGCCCCGAGATCGCTTCCTTGCCATCCTGCAGTCCCTGCACTTCAACGATAACACCGCCATGCCAGATGACTGCTCCGACCGCCTCTTCAAAGTGCGCCCAGTCGTCGACCATCTTGCTCAGAAGTTTGCCACTGTCTACGTTCCTCAACGGGACATTTCCGTCGACGACTCCCTGCTGAAGTTTTACGGGCGTCTCCGCTTCGCTACCTACAACCCCAGAAAGAGGGCCCGCTTCGGCATCAAGATGTACAAGTTGTGCCAGAGCACCGGGAGTGCCGCCGGGTACTGCTACAACTTCAAAATCTACATGTACACCGGCCAAAGTAAAGGAGACCTCCCAGCAACTACACAAGTGGTGATGGACCTGGTGAGCGACCTAAACGGCAAGGACTACAACCTTGCCCTTGACCGGGCCTTCAGCAGTCCCGATTTGTTTCGATGACTTCACAACCAGAAGTTCAACGTCGTCGGCACCGTTATGGCAAACAGAGAAGGGATGCTGAAAGACCTGCAGTCCGTCAAGCTGAAGCGGGGCAAAACAGCGTCCCGATTGGCCGACCTGGGTGTCAGCGGTTCTCTCCTGGCCATGGTGTGGTGAGACAAGCGCAACATCCGTATGCTCTCCACCATGCATACGGTAGACATCCGTGGCACCGGCAAGCAAGACAGGACAGGACAGGAAAAGCAGAAACCAACCTGTGTCATCGAGTACAACGCCCTGATGGGGGGCGTTGACAAGAGCGACCAACTAGCGGCCAATCATCGAGCAACTCGTAA